CCTGACAGAACACATAAACTCTCTTTGGTTGTCACATATGTCATATAAATATATAACATTAAGTAGTATAGCAATGTTTTGCTGTTACACTTTTCATGGAAATCAACTTATGAATGGTTTACTTTTAGTTTCTATAGTTTTTGCATATTAAACTGGAATATGCGAAAGTGTTTAAATTATTTCTACCATTGTGTTGATTATGTGAACAGTACACAGGAGTATGTTTGCGCATTTATTGCTTAATCACGAGTCACATGTCTCGCATGACATATTGAACAAGAGCCCTTCAGTATCATTCCTTGCAGGAAGTATCTTAAGCATAGGTCAGGCCCACATACTGCCTTCGCAGAACCTCCAGCCCCTCCCTGGCAACCAGTTTGACAAGACGTTTATTCAGCACAGCTCCGTGGCATTCTCACATGTCGGATCTCAGCATTGTCATTGAAGTCACACCCAGAGAGAGACACAAAACTGTTCCTTCATCAATACTTCACTGTCCAAGGCTGTGATGGGCAGGTCCACTAATTTAACTACCAGAGTGTCATTTGACATTTAGCCTGCTGCATTTACAGTGGGGCAAAAAAGTATTTAGTCAGCCACCAATTGTGCAAGTTCTCCCACTTAAAAAGATGAGAGAGGCCTGTAATATAAGCTCACGTTGGCATGCAAACACAAAAAAATCACCTGCTACTCTTTGAAGGCCAGTAATTTTTCTCATTTTAGTGGTGGATGTGATGTTGTCGCTTCTCTACATGGACAGCTTTACAGTCACAGGACTGAGTGCATGAGCTTTACTGCTATCATGTGACACATGCTCAAGTCACTGTGATATTTAGCTTGAGTGAAAGAAACTAGGGTGCTATAGCCATGAGAGCACAGGTATTTTAAAAGGCCATATCACTTGTTATATTGTATTTGATGTTATTTGAGGTTTTGTGCTAACAATCATTTAGCTAATCGCTGTTTATGACCATTTTCCAAAAGGAATATTTGTTGCCATAGCCATGAACTGGAGATTAGGAATTTAAACTAAAAGAGTCCTTTCAGTGTTTCCCCTAGGTTTACGGCTTGGGAAAGTTTTTCAGTTTTTAATGGTTAAATTACATTTTATTAATCAAAAAGCATGTCTAATTAATTAAAATCATGAAACTTAAACAATTTAACATCAATTTATTAAAAGTTTAACAAATATTAAGTTTAGGGCCCTATGAAATGTTTTATTTGTCCAACCTTATGTTTTATTGTAACCAAATTCTGTTTTAGCATGTCTAATTTGAAAGCATAAAACAAGTTTAATTTATTCTTACAATAGCCTTATGATTTTTTTGCTCAGAAATTCTGTGTTGTGTGTTTACATTTTGTTTTAAGGCATAAAACATTCATTTAATCTATCTTTTAAGTAATGAAAATTAAACAAATTTAATTTTTTGGAAAATAAAGGTCATTTAATATTACAATTAAAACATTGAAGAAATATTGAATGCTTATTTCTTAAAAATAAGGTTTTAATAATTTTAGTAGTAGTAGTAGCAGTCTGTTACGTACATTCTACTGAACAATAGTAATATATTTCTGCCGCAATGCCCTCAAGTTAAACCAAACTTTTATTTTGACGGGTTGCCGTGAATACCATTACATTTCTGTGTGTGTATGATATGATGATAGTTTTACTCAGATGAAACGGTCAAATGCTGATGAAGTGACTCTCAGAGCAGTTCTGGAGATGTTGTTTGTGTATTTATGTCCTCATTTAGTGAGACGGCAGACGTTAATATCACCGGAAGCGTCACAGTAATAATGGCAGGGGAAACACTGCCTTTTATTTATTTTATTTTATTTTTTTGTGCAAAACAAACTTTTAAAAGTCAGTCTCAAATTATCAGGAGTCTTGTTAAAAAAATTAATTCGTAACCACTCATTTCTTCCATTGGGATCATTCAAAAGGATTTGCAGAGCAGTAGGTGCTACATGCAGTCAGAAATAGAACAAGATTTTTCTACTTTTCACTGCAATTATTAGTTCTTCTGGTGTAATAGTAGAAATAAAACTCAGTGTGACTGGGCAAGCCATATTTATGAACACACAGTAGATGTTGTTGATGTGTAACTAAGTTATCTTATTGTAATTGGGAGGAAGTTTTGAGTTCTAAAAGTTAAAGTATTGTTTCATGAGCTGCAGTATCAAGTTCAATTTGTGTCCTTGCAAAAGATCAAGGAAAATTTGATTTCTTATCACCTGGGGCCTGATGTATAAACGCTGAATTTTCCACGCACATTTAGGGATTTATAAAAAACTAGGCGTAAATATGTGCACACCGTACGGACACTCTAGACCATGCGTACGCTCTCTTTTACTGGAGTGAGCGAAATAAGGAAGCAAACAGAATGATTTTAAAGTCTGTTCTACATTTGACATACACATTTAGATTAAATATGACGCTCTGAATAATGAAGTTAAGCACTGAAATTTCATGAAATTATTATCCAGAAATTACAACATTTGTATATGAATTTAAACAGAAATATTTGCAGTGGATGTGCTGCTTTTGAACAATTTTCCTGTGGTATGCGATTTAATGTTTTAATCACAGCGAGGATTGCTTGACGTATGACAATTCCGTTTGAAATTGTGTTCTAAATAGCAAAACTCATGTTCTGAGAAAATACTTTTGCACGAATAATGATCATTGATGTGAACTTGAATCGTCTGATGGCTTTGGAACATATAGGCGGTAATGACAGACGATGGATGCGCTCGTTGATCAAACAGTCCATTGGCTGGTTTGAAAAGGTCCGATGACAGATTGCATTTAAAAACATATGAGATGCAGTGAAATGAAATGAACCTTCACAAATTCATGTCACGTTTCCTAAACTTTTAAACTGTTTTAACTATGCATGGCTTTCTTTGCATCTCTTGCGTGAGACACGAGTGCAGCAAGTCATGTTTGTCCATCTAAAAAAATGTGCTGAATGACTTGGTTTCGGTTTTAACCTAATCAAGATCTTCTACGCATTGAGCTACTATATTTCTCTAATATTTTGAACGAATAATGCAGCAGTGGCGCATCTCGTGGGCTAAAGTAAACTAACAAAACATTAAAATGCAACAATGTCACTTACATCATTATCACCACATCTCGTGCTCCACTGATGACGCTCCCTGACGCACACCTAACATTCGATTGTACCATTTTTGCATTCAAATGTTTATTTTAAATTCGATTAATATTAATTTTTTTTTATTCACAATCTCCTCGTCACAGGCAGGCATTGCAGCATGTGTTCGTGTGTGCTGTCTGCGTCACTCATAACACGTGCCTATATGGAAAAAAATTTATAGCGTTATCGATGGTGTACCGTCGATAAATACCGACACCGTTTTATCGCCCAGGCCTAGCTCCATATATGGCTATTTCGGGGAGGAGACGGAGTGGAGATTCATGTACGCACAATCTTCTGCTGACTGGGTATTACAAAGGGAATTTTGCGTAGGTTCTGGCGTATGCATGGCTTTATAAATCTGAAAACTTTTGTACGTACGCAAAATCTAGCTGTTGTGCGTACGCACACATTTAGGATGAAATCTATGTAAAGTTTTATACATGAGGCCCCTGGACCTTAAAAAATATGCAAATAAAATGGAATCTGTAATGCATAGATTAGTACCTGAACACCATTATTATATCCTCGTTATTCATCTGAAATGACAAAAAATAAATAAATAAAAATGAGGTTTGTTGCTGAATAATGTGTTACCACGCCAGTGTACACCGCACACTACAATCGTTGGCATGCAGAAATAGGGGAGTCCATGTGGGGGATTGACGTTGGCAATACTTTTCTATCTTCCCTCCAGCAGTGCAGACAGATGGAGAGAGACGTGTTCATCTGGAAAGTTTTGGCTTATGTAGTGCCTATTCTCTATAACTGCTGACTGCTTTAGTTTGCCTAAACAATTCAAAATGTCACCACTTTACTTTCTGTAAATTATAGTTTAGTGTTCTATCTAATATGGGTGCGTTTTGTTATGAAACACCACATCTCGTGCTCCACTGATGACGCTCCCTGACGCACACCTAACATTCGATTGTACCATTTTTGCATTCAAATGTTTATTTTAAATTCGATTAATATTAATTTTTTTTTATTCACAATCTCCTCGTCACAGGCAGGCATTGCAGCATGTGTTCGTGTGTGCTGTCTGCGTCACTCATAACACGTGCCTATATTTAAAAAAATTTATAGCGTTATCGATGGTGTACCGTCGATAAATACCGACACCGTTTTATCGCCCAGGCCTAGCTCCATATATGGCTATTTCGGGGAGGAGACGGAGTGGAGATTCATGTACGCACAATCTTCTGCTGACTGGGTATTACAAAGGGAATTTTGCGTAGGTTCTGGCGTATGCATGGCTTTATAAATCTGAAAACTTTTGTACGTACGCAAAATCTAGCTGTTGTGCGTACGCACACATTTAGGATGAAATCTATGTAAAGTTTTATACATGAGGCCCCTGGACCTTAAAAAATATGCAAATAAAATGGAATCTGTAATGCATAGATTAGTACCTGAACACCATTATTATATCCTCGTTATTCATCTGAAATGACAAAAAATAAATAAATAAAAATGAGGTTTGTTGCTGAATAATGTGTTACCACGCCAGTGTACACCGCACACTACAATCGTTGGCATGCAGAAATAGGGGAGTCCATGTGGGGGATTGACGTTGGCAATACTTTTCTATCTTCCCTCCAGCAGTGCAGACAGATGGAGAGAGACGTGTTCATCTGGAAAGTTTTGGCTTATGTAGTGCCTATTCTCTATAACTGCTGACTGCTTTAGTTTGCCTAAACAATTCAAAATGTCACCACTTTACTTTCTGTAAATTATAGTTTAGTGTTCTATCTAATATGGGTGCGTTTTGTTATGAAACCCTTTAATTTGGTGGGAACCACTGAATTTAACATCCATTTTTTGTTTGTTTGTTTCCAGATCGAGCTGGCAGCATTAGTACATTGGACTCCTTGGATTTCGCACGGTATTCAGATGATGGCAACAGAGAGTCAGACGAAAAAGTGGCAGGTAAGGAGAATCCTGCTGTCAGATCTATTCCTCTATCTATATATAAAAATCAATGAAATGCATCTGGATGGTCAGATTGGATTTTTATCACATTTTGTGCATGAACACCCAGTCCTAGATCATATTTGAAAATCATATCGGATTTGTTTGCAGTGTGCCTCACATGCCACGATGGGACAGTTGGCTACTAGTTAAATACATTTTCCTCAGCTACAGTGACTGGTAATGTGGTTGGTTTTAAATATGCAAGTGTTCTTGAATTCCAACTTTGTGTCATACAGTATTTTTAATACTGGAAATCTTCAGTCCATTTCATTTTAAACATTTTGCATGCACTTATCATCATATTAGACCACAATTGACCGTAGCCAAATTTTCTATTTACTAATGCCCTGAATTTCCAAGAACACAATTCAGCAGTTACAGTATTTGGCCATTTTTTAGGCAAAATGAGAAGGAATTGGCTTTACTGGACGTTTGTCTGGAAACTATTAGTGGTTCAGCGGCTTGTGTAAAACTCTTTTATGAGAGGCGATTTGGTCAGTGTTACCGTATATGACACAAGATTCTTGGCATTCATGATTGATGTGAATTCACATGGGTCAAACATTATGGTTCACTGACCGCTTTCATCAGCGGTCTCATAGATGAGTGCTCTCTGTAGACGAGTAGGAGGGTTAACTAATAGCCTGTACGCTAAACTTTTCTTTCTAATTGGGCTGTACTGATAATAACTATCTTGCTTTGCCATTTCTTTCCAAGCAAAAGGTTTTCTGGCTCTCAAGTTTCCTCTCTTGCCATTTCCCTGTTTTGAAACTTGCTTGGCTAGGTTGCCATGCTGTTCCTTAAGCTTTTTCCTGCATTAGCTTGAGTCCCTCCCAAGCTTTAGATTCCTACATTATCCTAGCAGATATCGATTTTTCCGATCAAAATGTTTTGTTAATAATAATTCCTGTGAAAATTCACGTCCCCTACCCTCTCCCAACACGAAAAAAAAAAAAAACGTTTCGAAGCTGAGCTTTACACAAATATTTGTTGGCTCCTGGTCAAACAGTAAAGTCAATGCATTTTTTACAAAGTATTAGCGTTTCTACTATCTAGTGATATATTTTGCTTGTGGTCTTTTTAAAATGTTAACATTTTCTGTTAGTATTATTAGGGTCCATTCACACCAAGGCTGCATTTTTAGCATTGAATAAAACAGAATGTACTTTTTGTAAAACAAAAAAATGTACTAGCCAATGGCGATTCAATTGCCAAGGTGTCCGTAGAGGGTTGTATTTATCTTTTTACATTTTATTTCTTGTATTTTTATTTATTATTTTTGTTTCAGATTTTATTATTTTTATTTATTCATTATATTTCAGAAAATTAAATTTTGTTATATATTAAGTAGTTAAAGTTAGTTAAATATTAAACATTCAATTGTTTGTAAATATATGACTTTGTCACATCAAACTTGGTGTGAACAGGCCTATAGTTTATATTAATGTATAAACAAAACAAAAAAAATTGTGAATATAAATTATAACTATTTCTAATTTAGGTAATGGGCAATTTTATGTGCTTGAGTGTGATTTTGTTGAAAAAGCTAATAATGGGTAAGTAGAAAGCCTAAGGAACCGTGCAGCAGAATAAGATTGCTCTGTACAAAATGTCACGTTTGCACCCCCAATTGGGAATTTCCTCCCAAATCTTGACCCCTTCAGCGATGAGCACAGCCCTGGCTGTCTGACCTGGGGTTTATTGGCTGTCTGATGGGTCTCTATTCTAGTATTTCTCTTTCCAATACTGGACCACAAACCATCCAGGCAAGCACGCTTTGCCACTATTTATTTTATTTTTTTTGCTTGTTCTTACATTTTTCCATTTGTTTAACTTGCATCCTGTGCTGTGTTGATCAGCAGCACAAGTGCCTTTGTCCCATTTGAGCTCTGCTTTATCTTAGCCTTTTCTCTTTTTTTCATTTTTCTGATTTCGTTGTTTATTTCTCTTCCATTTTAATTAATCTTTCTTTTTTTCCCCCTCCCTTCTTTGTCTGGCACTGTTCAGGTAGATGGTGTTCCAGAAAACATATTAGGAAGCAGAGCTTGTGGGAGTCCCACCTGCTGATCATCAGTGCACAGTCATGCAAAGTGTCCTGTGCTCGTCATGCTTCTGTTTCCTGGTGTCTCTGGGTGTGTCTCAATCCGTTCCCTAGTTCATACACTGCCCAAAGATGTCTAGGGCTGTCCCATGATCACAATCCTTCCAGTACACTAAAATGTTTGCTTCCTCAAAATTCCCAGAATGCTTCATAAAAATCAGTAAGAATCAGCTGATTCCAGACGGAATATTGGTCATTACATGTTATGCAGCAGTGTTGGTTGTTTTTTTTTAATGCGAGATCTTGTAATCTCGTCACAGGTAATTTAGTCATCAGTGTCCCAATTGTTAGTCCTTGCTAATCCCAAATTTCCACTGATTACTGTTTTAGGAAACTAGGGAGCAGAATGAGACACAGCCTGTGTTAAAATTCGCTTAGCAGGTCCACGGTAGCAGGATTGCTGCAGGGTTTTGCATACACTAGTAAATCCCTTACCAGTTGAACAACTGTTTTACAACAAAGATCAAATGCGAACAACAGGTGGATTTAGATTTTTGTCTATTTAGGATTTGCTTCTGTATATATGTGGCATTGTCAACCTGTTAGAATAACAGTCGTACTGAATCCTGTGAGGTGCTCGGGTTTTTGACTTCTTGTAGAGCAGTTAGTTTTATTTAAACTGAAGTGTGTAATTTTTTTTTTTGTCTGTGTTAAATTACTTTCTCATATTCCAGCTTAGTATGCCGAGACCGTTGTAAATAAGCCATTCAATGATCGATTCCCCTGAAAAGTCTCTATGGTGCTGTCGAAACATTTCTCTGCGTCCCGAACAATCTGACAGGACATTATCGGTCTAGCCAATGATGTGAGTTTGGGCTGAGACTACCCATTTCATAATTAGGCCTGTCCCAAATGGCACCCCGGTTTACACTTTGTTGTAATACTGGGTAGGAGTCCGATGTGAAGTCCATGCCAATGTAGTCTTGAAGTTGGCGCACTATTCTGCAACCTAAAATGACAAATAGGACACTCTCATGGTCTTGTGAACTTTATGGACACATGCGGCTAGATGGCAAATAAACTTAAGTGCACTATTTAGGACAGGGCCATATATTTTGCAACTGTTTGATACACAGAATATGAACACACTTCAGCTTTAGAAGTCAAACGGAATTAGAAGATCTAAAGGAATTTCAAAAAAACTGAAGGATTTTTTTTTTTTTTTTACCTTTCATCCAAAACAAACAGATTTGCTTTGCTCTAAATCCCTGGTCAGACACCAGCTAGAGAATTAATTTTAATTAATCTTTCTTTTTTTCCCCCTCCCTTCTTTGTCTGGCACTGTTCAGGTAGATGGTGTTCCAGAAAACATATTAGGAAGCAGAGCTTGTGGGAGTCCCACCTGCTGATCATCAGTGCACAGTCATGCAAAGTGTCCTGTGCTCGTCATGCTTCTGTTTCCTGGTGTCTCTGGGTGTGTCTCAATCCGTTCCCTAGTTCATACACTGCCCAAAGATGTCTAGGGCTGTCCCATGATCACAATCCTTCCAGTACACTAAAATGTTTGCTTCCTCAAAATTCCCAGAATGCTTCATAAAAATCAGTAAGAATCAGCTGATTCCAGACGGAATATTGGTCATTACATGTTATGCAGCAGTGTTGGTTGTTTTTTTTTAATGCGAGATCTTGTAATCTCGTCACAGGTAATTTAGTCATCAGTGTCCCAATTGTTAGTCCTTGCTAATCCCAAATTTCCACTGATTACTGTTTTAGGAAACTAGGGAGCAGAATGAGACACAGCCTGTGTTAAAATTCGCTTAGCAGGTCCACGGTAGCAGGATTGCTGCAGGGTTTTGCATACACTAGTAAATCCCTTACCAGTTGAACAACTGTTTTACAACAAAGATCAAATGCGAACAACAGGTGGATTTAGATTTTTGTCTATTTAGGATTTGCTTCTGTATATATGTGGCATTGTCAACCTGTTAGAATAACAGTCGTACTGAATCCTGTGAGGTGCTCGGGTTTTTGACTTCTTGTAGAGCAGTTAGTTTTATTTAAACTGAAGTGTGTAATTTTTTTTTTTGTCTGTGTTAAATTACTTTCTCATATTCCAGCTTAGTATGCCGAGACCGTTGTAAATAAGCCATTCAATGATCGATTCCCCTGAAAAGTCTCTATGGTGCTGTCGAAACATTTCTCTGCGTCCCGAACAATCTGACAGGACATTATCGGTCTAGCCAATGATGTGAGTTTGGGCTGAGACTACCCATTTCATAATTAGGCCTGTCCCAAATGGCACCCCGGTTTACACTTTGTTGTAATACTGGGTAGGAGTCCGATGTGAAGTCCATGCCAATGTAGTCTTGAAGTTGGCGCACTATTCTGCAACCTAAAATGACAAATAGGACACTCTCATGGTCTTGTGAACTTTATGGACACATGCGGCTAGATGGCAAATAAACTTAAGTGCACTATTTAGGACAGGGCCATATATTTTGCAACTGTTTGATACACACTTCAGCTTTAGAAGTCAAACGGAATTAGAAGATCTAAAGGAATTTCAAAAAAACTGAAGGATTTTTTTTTTTTTTTACCTTTCATCCAAAACAAACAGATTTGCTTTGCTCTAAATCCCTGGTCAGACAGCAGCTAGAGAATTATGTGAAAAAATAAAACCTGTGTAAATATTTTGATGATCTGGCAGCTCCTCCAGCAACCTCTGCTGCATGTGTTCATTAGATCCATAGCGTGCGTGTCCCTGTTTTGGTTCTGCCTCAGCTTCTTACAAAAGTTGTCGTTTTTTTTTTTCTTTTTCTTTTCTTTCCTTTTTTGATTTTGTTTTTTCATGGCCATCCTTTGTTCTTTTTTCCCCCCTTTTGTTTTGTTTCTTTGTTCCCTTCTCTTGGTTGGATGCCTGTTTGTGTGTGACCCACTTCCCCCTGGTCCAGTTCTGGAGTTTGAACTGCGGAAAGCCAAGGAGACCATTCAGGCTCTTCGTGCCAACTTGACTCAGGCTGCAGGTGGCGTACTTTCAACTTTTACATACTTCAGTCCTTTCTGCTATAGGAGCTGCTCTCATTCCTAAAGGCAGTTTTTAATGTCCACCATAAATCAAATTCCAGCTCACTCGTTTTTCTTTCTCTCTCTTTCTGTAGAATGTGAGATTCCCTCTCAAGAGAGAAAGAACTACAAATCCAGTCCTGAAATTCAGGTTACCCTATTTTTCATTTTTTTATGATGGTATTATAAGCTTAAATATATTAGGTTTCTCTAATAAGCTTGTTATGAACAATTAGTTTGAATTGAAACTACATTAATTTCTTCCGATTGTTTTTCCAGGAACCTATCCGCACTCTTGAAAAGAGAGCCTTGAATTTTTTAGTTAATGAGTATTTATTGAAAAATGAATATAAGTTAACGTCCATCACATTCTCAGATGAAAATGATGATCAGGTAATATTTTATACATTCATTTTTATAGAATTATTTGCATTAGTATTTTATTTCTAACTGTTATTCATGATATTTTATTTCTGCAGGATTTTGAGTTGTGGGATGATGTGGGTCTAAACATTCCCAAACCTCCAGACCTGCTGCAGCTCTACAGGAACTGTGGGAACAGCCTGCCATTGCATCGGGATACTGTGGATGTGGCGGTCAGTGTGGATCTGAATGACTTGCCAGGAGACTATTTTACCCAGGAACCTGTGCAGCAAACTGAGGCTGTACAGGTATTTACATATTGGAAGAACTGTTGGTATTGTAGTATAATAGTTTTCCGATTAAGATCCATATTCTGGTTAAGCCTTTATTCTGAAATAAAATACATTTCTGATTCATGGCATATGGTAGCTATTTTAGTCACTCTCCTAGAAACTGGAATATTGGCCTAATCAGCTTAAGGCCAATTAAATTAATGCATGTACACAACATTTACATAATCAGAATATTGCCAAATCCTAGTAAACCCCATGTAAAATATCTATTCAAAAGGGTCTAAAACATGATTTTGGGTGGTCTTGGGTTTCTCTGGTCTAAAATATTACACCTTTTAAGTAATTTCGATGTTATCCGCAGCAGCAGGAAGTGGTTCAGGAGCTGGAATATCAGATCAGCCTGCTGAACAGTGAGAAACAGAGTCTGGCTGAACAGATTAAAAAACTCCAAAGGTAAGAGTCATCGCCTGCTGCCTGTGAGCCCAATTCAATCAGAACCATTAGAAACCTGCCGCATGAGCCCGAATAATCGGAGCTCAGAGCAGCCACCTGTTATTGCTGTCGTAATTCATATCTGCAGGGTCTGATCTCGTCAGCTGATGTTTATAAAATCCACATTTCTCTGTGAAAAAATATTTAGTTATTAGTCACGATTCCCTATGATTTTGATGCTGATCAGTTCATCTGCTAAACTAATGTCACTAAACCATTTTTTTTGTTTTAATTAAATGGAAGTAACATGCACTGGATATTATACCATATTATAATAATAATAACATCATATTTAGTTATTTAAAACTAATATTGATTTTTAATTGTCAAAGCATATACATGTGTTATGATCAAATGTATAGGATTAGTTTGTTGTTTATATATTTATTTATAAATGTTATTATTATTATTATTATTATTATTATTAATTGAATGTGTCAACCACACAAACTACACTACTGTTCAAAAGTTTGGGGTTGGTCAGATTTTAAGTTTTACAATTTTGAAAGAATTCATCACCAATGCTCTGTTTATTTGATCAAAAATACAGTAGAAACAATAATATTTAAATATTACAATATAAAATAACTGTTATGTATTTTAATATATATATACACTGCCGTTCAAAAGTTTGGGGTTTGGGATCAGTAAGACTTGTAATGTTTTTGTAAAGAAGTCTCTTATGCTCATCAAGGCTGCATTTATTTGATCAAAAATACAAAAAAAAAACATTAAAACGCAAAATGTTATTACAATATAAAATAATGGTTTCTATTTTAATATCCTTTAAAATATAATTTATTTCTGTGAGGCAAAGCTGCATTTCCATTAGTCATTACTCCAGTCTAAAGTGTCACACGATCCTTAAGAAATCATTCTAATATGCTGATTTATTATTAGAATTATCAATGTTGCCAATTTTTTCGAAACTGCGATACTTCTTTCAGGATTCTTTGATTAATAAAAAGTTTAAAAGAACAGCATTTATTCAAAATATAAATCTTTTCTAACAATATAAATCTTTGCTATCACTTCAATAAAAGTTTTAATTTCTTTCAAAAAAGAAAGAATAAAAATGTACTGACCCCAAACTGTTGAACTGTAGTGTATATTGTTAGAAAAGATTTATATTTTAAATAAATGCTCTTCTTTTTAACTTTTTATTCATCAAAGAATCCTGAAAAAAAGTATAACAGGTTCCAAAAAAATATTAAGCAGCACAACAGTTTCCAGCACTGATAATAAATCGGCATATTAGAATGATTTCTGAAGTATCATGTGACACTTAAGACTGGAGGAATTAATTAGATTTTAATGTATATTAAAATAGAAAAACGTTATTTTACATCATATTAATATTTCACAATATAAATTTTTTTCCTGTATTTTTGATCAAATAAATGCAGCCTTGATGAGCATAAGAAACTCCTGTAAAAAAACATTAAAAATAGTTCTGGTCCCAAACTTTTGACCTGTAGTGTATATATATATATGTGTGTGTGTGTGTGTGTGTGTGTGTTACAATTCTTGAATCAATAGAAAGTTAAATCTATCAGTATTTATTTGAAATATAATTTTATTGTAGCATTATATTAAATATTATAAACTGTCACTTTTAATTAATTAATTGGAACCTTGCTAAAAAAAAATAAATAAATAAATAAATAAAATAATTTATACAAGAAAAATGTACTGGCCCTAATCCTTTTAATGTGCTTTCAAGCGCTCTAGAAACTGTCCCCCTCCGGCTCAGTGGACTCTCATCATTATGACCTTCTGCTCTCTGACATTTTCAGCGTGGCATTTACGTTTCTTAGCAAGTGAAGAGCTCTACATATCTTTTTTAACTAGTTTTGCCTCCACTTCATACTTTCCTGTTCTGTTTGCCACAGCACTACTGTATATTCACTTCTATACTTGCATTTTCATACATTTTGCACACCACTAAACGTAATATACTGTTTGTGTGTGTGTGTGAATCCAGTGATATACAGGCACTTCAGAGGAATGTTTCATCAGAACCCACATCTGCAGTGAAGTTGATTCAGTCTAAAGAAGACACTCCATGTGGTAAACCCCCCCTAGACAATGGACAGTATTTGGACATACGAGGGGTCACAGAAATGGACAGCTCCTCAGATGCCAACACTACAAAGACCTCAACCACTACTACTGTTACTACTGACTGCACTGAAAGCACCACTACTGCTACACAACCTTACAACAAACTAAAGAGTCAGCAGGGTAAAACCTCTGTGCAATTTGACCAACCCAACAGGTGAGACCTGCACTTCCTTATTCCAATGGACACTCTTATGACTATAAAAAAGGAGTTGATGAGATGCACAGATGCAAATAAAGCACTCAAGCAACAAACTTCTATTAGAAGTGCTATCTTAGTGAGCTTTCTATCTAGGCCATGTTTTCAGCATCATCATAGTTATACTCCTAATGTGAAGGCTTTCCAAACATTAGGCTGCAAACCTGTCACCATAGAGCTTTGCTGATTTGGATGGTTGCTATAGCGTTGCTTTATGGTTTCTGATATGTTCCAGTTGGTTTCTAGGGCATTGGTAGGTGGTTGCATACCATTCCAACACAAAGGAGTCAACCTCCATGTCTCTATGATATTCTGATCTCTAGATATTGCCTAAGTCCATCCTTTAATGTACAAACCCGATTCCAAAACTGCCGTTCAAAAGGTTGGCTTTAGTAAGATTTGTAAAAATGTGTTTAATGTTTTTGTTAATTAATATATTCTATTAATTAAAGAATCCTGAAAAACTAATCATGGTTTCCACAAAAAAATTAAGCAGCACAACAGTTTTCAACATTGTTAACTGGGTAACTAAAATTAAAACCATAAAAAAGTAATAAATAAATAAAATCAAACAATTGTTACTCGAAATGAAATAAAATAAATGTTAACTGAAATAAAATGTATTTAAAAAAAATATTATTATATTATTATTAAATTTTTTTTTATTATTCTTATTTCAATTTCCAAAACGTTTTTCATTTTAATTTAGTTTAACCTGATGAACTAAAATAGCTAAAACTGAAATAATAGGAATTTTTCATATCAGTCATTTAAGGCTACGTTCACACTAGGGCTGGGTTTTGGCACAAATTTCACGATTCGATTCGATTCGATTCTCATTCACAAGCTTTCGATTCGATTTGATTCAATATCGTACCAAAGCACAATGCTTATTGCGATTTATTGGATGGGAGATGCCCTTCAATGTTCCATCCATTAACTGAAAACAGGCTAGACTAATCGTAATCAATATCGTTTCGTAAAAATGAGAATCGATTATAATCGAGATATCAGTATCTTTTACCCAGCCCTAGTTCACACTGCGAGCCTTAGTGCTCAATTCCGATTTTTGCTCAGATCCGATTTTTTTTTTTTTGTATAGCTGTTCACATTGTTGTTTTAAATGTGGCCAATATCAGATTTCCAGTGTGAACAGATCATGGTTCTGAACTGACCCGCATGTGCAAAAGAACAATACGAACAGAGTTGCCAGGTTTTCACAAAAAAATCTGCCCAATTGCTTCTCAAAACTAGACCAATTACGTTCTGGGGGTTATATATCGCGTTAGTGGGGTCGCTTTAACCCACGGAGTTGAAAAACAACCCGCGGCAACAATCAAAAAGTATCCCAATTCTGCGGGAAAACTGTGGACTTGGCAACACTTGCGCAGCACGCTGTCATACGGAAGTAAACACGAATGACAAAGCAAGCAATTATGTGTTTATTTATAGTGTGATCTGCCACAGAAGCCAGTGAAATTATGCGCAGGCAATATGAAAAATAAAGACAAGGATGTGACACAGGAGAGCAGAGTCTTGAAACTTTTATGATATGAGCCCTTATGTTTTGCTTGCATATAGAGTTGTCACTGCAATACTTATGAGTTCTGACACATCACTGTACTTCCACTGACTACTTTCGCAACTGTCTTGATACATTTGGGTATGTCAAATCTTTGAAGTGACTCCCATGAGCACAGAATCTGGACGAAAGTTGATCTAGAGTGAGATAAAATTAATTCCGATATGACCGTTCAGACTGCGGTCACACTACAAAACATCTGCCCTATATCGGATTTAGTACTACATATGGAAGTGGCACAAATCGGAATTAAAAAGATCAGAATCCATGTGGTTTGTACGGTTCACACTGTCATGAGAAAAATAGATTCGAGTCACATGTAAGTAGGGCTGGGTATCGTTCAAAAATGTTCGATATCGATACCGAAACCTTTACTTCGATACCGGTTCCTGAACGATACTTTTTTCAATACCAATTTTATGAAATCTATTTGAACAAGATTACATTATCTAAAAAAAAAA